GGACGATAGGTGTTTGATAGGAAAGAAGGAGCAAACCACACCAGAGCACCCGCCAACCATCCACAAATGACAAAGGGAAAGAACAGAAGTATCAACTACTGAAGACACCTTCAAACAAGCGACTTATTATAATCACATATTTACTGTGAACAAGATTTTTTAGAAGACAGGTAAAGGCTTGCACCTCAACACCCCCATCTTGACCGACCTTTAGCTCCATAAATAGAGGTGGACACTGGTGTACTATAACACAAATGTATTTTTACACAAGCTGAGTTTTGAGTTAAGAGAAGCACATCAAAACAATAAGGGTCATTTAGTTATGGGTAAAAATGAGTCAGACAGACAGAAACTACAGACAGAAGAAGAGAAGCAGGACCTGCTAGTAGCACCCCCCCCCCAGCCCATTCACACATGCCAAACAATGTACAGCAGATATAAAGAAATCCTCGCATATATATATACCATATCACAAGTTCTTTGTCAATAAACACACATACACATCCATACAAACTCGTCACCCAAAAATTACCCTTGACGAATCTACAAATTGCATACACAATCCACTGTTCCACATTTTGGGTGTTCTTTTCCATGCACATGTGCAGACACTGCTCACACAAACACAGAATCCAGCACTTGCACTCACTCACACACACACACATACACACACATACACACACACACACACACACACACGCACATGCACACACACACGCATGCCCACATAAACACACACACACACACGCACACACATGTACGCATGCACACATAAACACACACACACACACGCACACACACGTACGCATGCACACATGCACACACGCACACATAAACACACAAACAAACACACACAGACATACATCTCATACTACCACAGCTTCCAGCACATAATCAAACATCCACCCGTCCACCCACCTGGCTTTGAGCTGCATGTTGATGGAAGGTCCCTCCTGCTGCATGTAGAAGAGGGGCACACCCTTGCAGATGCCCTGAGGTGTCTGGTAGTACAGCGGCTCAGAGGAAAAAGACTGTAGGTGCTCCAGCATGTGGTCCGTGGAGGAAATCCTATGGAGGAGACAACACAAAGACATTCATTTTTGTATCTGTATTTGTGTGAATACAAACATGTCTCTCTCTCTCTTTCTATCTATTATATCTGTCTGTCTGTCAAATATGTATTAATATACATATGTATCATGTATAATTCGATTCATGTATATTTACACACATAATTGTTTTGTTTTGGCAAGTGTTTTTTGGTGCTCGTAACTACATACACTTATATGAGCGCTTGAGACACATTAAACATTTTCAATTTGGTTGGAATTAATTTTGAAATTCGCCCGTGTTTCTCTGCTTGGGCGCTCTTAAAAAAACAAACAAATTAACTATATCAGCCTGTTCTTCATCTGTCAACCATCTGTTCAAATTCTCGAAGTAAAATATTCTTGGAAGTCCAGTGCCTCTTTTGCTTTCTTTTTTTTTTTTTCTCAGTGAAAACCAGATGTTCTCTTTAAGCCAATCGAATTTTCCTAAGAATTGTATTTATCCCTTCCTAACTGTATTTATTAGCGACCTACCCATTCTTTCTTCTATTTGTTTGTTTGTTTTAGTAAGAGTTTTATGGCACTTTCAACACAATTGGGTCATAAGTGTCATGACATGGTGGTACCAGGCACCCGTCAATTTTTAGGCTTATGTAGTTATTCGTTTCATCTGAAAGCTTATTCATTTGCCTTGCTTTCAAGGAAAAAAAATATGCATCCATTTTAAATGATAGTCAAGATATTTGCCATTGAAGAAGGTGAGGCCGACTGGTTTCAGTGGTGAAATTAGTAAGAAAATGGCCGCCAAAGTTTGGTAACTCCAATAGCAAAAGAATCCTTGAAAACTGAAAAATGTTGTATTTTGTGCCTTTAATCGACGTTTTTCAGTAAGCTTCACATGGAAATGTATTTTTATATGGATATGAAAGAGGTTGAGCCAGAAAGCTATAATTTTATAATGACTGCTTAACTGGCAGAAAAATGCCTGTTTCTCCGATTTCGTTATTTTGACGGGCGCCTAATTTCACTAAAATGCCTCACATATGAGTGCCAAACATTGGAGGTTAAACAAAAGAGTAACAAAAACAAAAAAGAAAGAGGACAGATAAGGACAACAGATGTTTGACATGAAAGAAGAAAACCACACCAAAGCACTCGCCAACCACCCACTAGCTTCTACTTACTTTTGCAAAATGGTCCACAGAGTCTTAATGTTGTTCAGTCGCAAACTGCTCTTTTTCTCCTTCTCATCAGGCTTGCACAGCATCTCATGCAGCAGGTCATAGCAGCCCTCCACCGTCACCTCAATGTGGGTCACCGCTCTGCGAACAAGACAGGCGAACCGCGTTAAAACACAATACTCTACAGGCTGCCCAGAAGGCTTTAAGCTTATTACACTTCCTAGAATACATGTAAATGTAAATGTGAGGCACCGTGGTGAAATCAGGTGCTCGTCAAAATAATGAAATCTAAGAAATAGACACTTTTCTGTCAGTATGGCAATTTCTACAGAATTTTTGTTTTTCGGCTCAACACCTTTTATGTCCGTATAACAACACATTTCCGTGTGAATTTTAACCAAAAAAAGTTGACTAAAGGCAAAATATATGTAGATTTTCAGTTTTTAAGGACTCTCAAACAATCGAATTACCAGACTTTGGAGGCCCTTTTCTCGCTAATTTTACCTCCGAAACTGGATGACCCCCCACCTTCTTCCATCGCAAATATTCCGACTTCTATTTCTGATGACCGAAAGGACAGCGTGTCTGATTTGACATCATTCTTACTAAAAACGACTTTTACTTAGGATAGATGGGTATTTTTTTCATCGAAAAAAAAAGGTAAATAAATAGTTTTAAGACGATACCAGTAACTCCATATGCTCAAAAAATTGACGAGCACCTGATTCCATTGCATTGAGACACAAATGAATTATAAAACACCCCCATTGACATGTTGAAACTACCACTCGGAGCCAATCCCGGCTCTGAGTGCAATGGCTCAAACGTGGCATTAAACAAAGACAAGTGGATTGAAACCACTTTTCGACTAATGCCTCGCTGCAGCCAACAGAACTCTCTCTCTCTCTCTCTTCCCTCACCCCCTTCCTTCCTCTTCAAAACTCTGTTTAAAAAGACCTCAGTTATATATCTAAACCAGCAACTCCAGATTTCCTGGTCTAAATTCATGAAGCAGAAAAAAGGGTACCCACTTACAATATGTGAGGCAGCGTGGTGCAATCAGGCTCTCGTCAAAATAATCAAAGTGAAGAAACTTGCATTTTTTCCGCAAATTTGAGAATTTTTATCAGATTTTTTTTTTGGTTTAATACCTTTCATGCCCACTAAAGAACTCATTTCTGAGTAGATTTTTCAGAAAAACGTTGATTAAAGGCACAAAAAATGTACATTTTCAATTACCATGGACTCTTAATCTAATGAAATAACATCTTTGGCAGCCATTTTCTCATTTATTTTACCTCTGAAAAGAGGTGACCCCCACCTTCTTCTTTGGCAAATATCTCGTCTTGCATTCAAGATAAATTGATATTTTTTTTATCCAAATAAAGCCAAGTGAACAAGCTTTAAGATGATACCAATAACTCTACATGCCCAAAAATTGACGAGAGCCTGATCCCACCACGCTGCCTCACATATGTAACCTACGGCTGCTTTTTTTTTTCAACTATCCAATCATGTCATTGAAATGTAACCATACCATGAGAGAATCTAGAATCTTTATTTTAGATTTAGCAAGTGTTTTACAGCACTTGAAACACAACTATGTCATTTAAGTGCTGAAGATTAGAGATATTGCAACTGAGCAAAAAAACACAAAAAATGAAAAACTAAAGAAAATCATACCGTCTTCTCCTTCTCGGTTGATCATACTTGAAGTCTGGTATCAAGTGAATTACTAAATAATTAAAGTATTTCGGCAAAACAAGAACATATTCTCAACAGACAAACAGAAAAGATTCTTCTCGATAGACTCAAGGCCTTACTTCTTTCTCTCTAGTGGCCATGTCGCCCAGGCAGCGTACTCAATCCTGCCATAGTCATGCCAAGGAAAGTGAAGCTTTACGTGGATTTCTGTGTCATCTGCCAAATAGAAATAAAACATCTAGAGTATGGCCCACACCACAGAGAAAAAAACCTTAGTGTCATTCACTACAAACATCCCTGTGGGGTTTTTGGTTTTTTTTAAAAAATAGTAGAGTGTTTTACGGCGCTCGCAACTGCATAAGGTCATATGAGCGCGCCATCCCTGTGTGAATCAAATATGAGGTAAAAGTAGTAAAGTTTGACGCTCTATATGTTCCCACATCACAACAATCACAGAGCTGTATTTACTGATTCTGTAAGACATGACTGCAAACACTCAGTTAAGCAGCTCAAATCAACACACACATATATAGGAACATTTATTTTAGAGACCCCAAAACAGTACAAATGTTTTTTTGTATGCAATTCTGCTAACTTGACTTTAAAAAAGTCGATTTCATTAAACAAAATGGTTCACATAGACACTGTCCCTGCTTAACTTCACAAAATATCATCCTCATCCGGTGCCTTGCCAACTGGCATGGGCGATCATCTATTGTTCTTGCTGCTCCCAACCATGTTGTCAACATGTCCAGTATCTTTTCCCTTTGTCTGCCTCTGTTTCCATCAAACTAGCCTGTTGTTACGATACAATATTCTCCAATGCTTCTTTCCGCATTCACAAAATATGGGTATAACATTTGGCAAAGGTGTTCAGATAAAAAGAGCACTCATATTGTGCCTTCCCATACGCTGAGCATGGTGCATATATTTTATTTCAGATGACAAATTCAAAATCAACCGCATTATCTCAGCAGGTGAAAATCATCCAATTCTGACCTTTGCGGAAGCAAACGTTTTTGATTGTGTAGCCCTCCCTCAGCCTGACGGAGAGAACACTGGAGAGCCCAGCCAGGACAGTCCGCTTGTCCCTCTCCTTCCGGAGAGTTTCCAAACCAAAACTCTCCCCAGTAATCGGGTGTCTGTGGAGCATTCTGTGGAGGAAAGAACACAAGATATATGACTATTCATCTTTACCGAAAGAAGAAGTTGTACTTTTGGTCGGCTCCAGGAGCCTGCTTCTCTAGTCTATCAGACAGACCATGCCAATGAGCAGAGCCAGTCAATAAGGAGGGAGGGGTGGGTACTTTGATCATAACAAGCCCGAGTAATGATATTAATTGTGCATATTACCACTTTGAGAAAAGAGAATTTTACTCGCTTAATACTCTAAACACCATTAGGTCATTTCAAAGTGGGATCTCCACCATGTGGAGTTTCCATGATTTTTTTAAAAAGCATATCCAGATCATCTGGCGACAAATGAACACAAAACTGGAAAAAGCTGAACTGGAAAGAGTAAGAAGAGAGAACAAATTCCACCCATATATCAGAGGATACTGGTCAAAGATCCAATCAATGAGTTGAGGAGGGGAGATCAATCCATAATCTTCCAACTTAGAACACAACATGTACCCCTCAACCAACATCTCAACCGAATTGGAGTAAAGCAGTCTGCTGCCTGCCCACCATGTGACTACCCCTCAGAGACAGTGGAACATCATCTGTTCTTCTGCAGAAAACTAACTGATTTAAGGGGATGTTTTCTTCCCAAGCTACCCCACACATCTAATTGCCTCTACTCCTCAAGACAACAATTAGAACAAACATGCAACTATTACCGAATGACATCATGCAGAAGAGTTAACGCTCAGATGCTACTGGATCGCTAACAACAACAACAACATATCAGAGGATGAGATGAGGTAATAGGTACCCCACCATCAAGAACACAATACTCCCTGAAGGGGGAAGAATGAACTACTCACATCCCCTGACCAGTTGGCATGCACTTAGTTCTGAATGGAATCTGTTAAAAATAACTCTCTAAATTAATTTTTCCCTCTACAGGATTTTCTTGGACACCAAGTCCAAATAGCAGGAAATTCATTGCCATCAAAAAGCACACAAAAAATAAAATACCTGAAAATGACTGATTTCCAAAAAATTACCATCTCTGTTAGTGGGTTTGAAAAAACAACTGGGGGACTCAACCAGGAAAAGAGGGGTAGGGGTACCATTTTCCAAACACTCGTGTAAGAGTGAAAAAAAAAGTTATATTTTAGCTTCTTGGAAAACTAATTCTAAAAGCTGCAGGCATGTATTACACCATAATAGACGGCAAACCTTTTGATCCAGGAGATGGAGCCTGGCATGTCCTCATCACTGTAGTGGGTCAACTCATACTTGAAGCCTTCCAAACCTCTTTGAAATGTCCAGAACAGCATGGCTCTGTGGTACAGGTTGGCTTCATTTTTCTCTTCACTCTGGGGAACCACAGGGGTATTATACGTACAAATCATTATTCAATTTGGAGAGATGTGGTTTTCTTTTTTCTCTTGCTCAAGTTATTTGAGTACCACAGGAGACAAAAAAAACAAAAAACGAAACAAATTAAGGAATGAGTATTGCTGTTAGCTTCTTTTGAAGGTCACATTTTTCTTCTCCAGAGAAAAAAGTAATGTCTATAATTGTCACATTTGCCCTTTAGCCGGGTGTTAAAAAACGTGTTGAACCTTCCAAAGATTTCCATGTTAGCTGCTGACAAGCATATGCAAATGTATAGGAAGAGTATACAAAAAGAAAAGTACATCAACAAAATAATGTCAATGAAAAATTAATTGTTCGCTTTAGCCCTTTATTATTCAATACTTTAGAAAATGTTTTCATTCTAAGAACAAAGCTTTTTGAATTTAAAGAATCAGTTCATAAATAAAAAAGTTATGGGATTGTAAAGGTTGGTAAAATACGGATGACCCACATATAGGAAAATACTCCTTAATAAAAGTGGACCACGGAACAGGAGACTCTGTAAGAAAACTGACGATATCTCAGTAATTAAGTGGACCGTTTGAAAGAAACTCGGCAGCTCAATATGTTGTTGGGTGGAGAAATCATTTCTGCATTCAGATTGACTACCATTTGGTAATTGTTTTGTTATAATTAAAATTTTGGTGAACATATTTCGATTTTGAGAAAAAGGGGTGTTGGGATAAGAGCATTTTAATTATAGCATCGTATCACAACATGTGATCTTTACGAGTATGTTGGCAGCGTGACTTTAGACCATGCCAACCATAAAATATAATCCAATTCAATTTAACATGCCGTACAATTAAAAATCTTTTTTTGCCGTTGAGACGCGAACACTCCGAGGCGAATACCCCCATTGCGATGTTACAGGGGAACAGAGAGAAAAACAACTGGATGCACGCACCCGCCATTGCCTTATTTAAAGTGATCAATGAACAGGCTTGGAATAAACATGCAGGGATTTGTAGGTCACAGACATTGGCCAAAGGAGTGAGGGGAAAATGGCCGGTCTGCGTGCGAAGCCACCTTGGACAGGCGGGTAGTGGTACATTTATGATAAATTGTAAACAACTACTGACACAGAACATTCAAATTTGAGGACACTATTGAGAAAAGATAGATCTCTTACCTTCTCAACATTGAAATTCAAGCTCTTTACAGTTTACGGAATACGCGATACGAAAGTGTTTCCGACACTAAAAATATAGGTAAATTTATGAGTACAAACTTAAACGTCCATATATCATAAGTTTGCCCGATTTTCTGATTGGCTGACAAGTTTCATTCACATTGGTAGAGAAACAGCACCGAACGAGTTTAAGAAATTAGTCACCTTCGTTCCAACCTGGTCCAAAAATACACCCGCAAACGGGTATCAAAATTTCGCAGCGCGCGATAAACCGGTTGGCATTGCTAAATAATGGTTATTTGGTTCTTGAGAAACATTAAACAAACAGACAAAAATAAAAGAACATTCTCACTAACCCGAGAGGAAAAAAGTAGGACCTACCAATGACACTGCCTAACCACCTACTTTAAAGATGCAATATGGGACCGAATATTCTACGAAACGAGTTCCATTTTTCAACATTAAACAGACACGGGAATCAAAAAAACATGCAACAGTCACCAAACTACATACCACATCGGGACCAGAGCCCAGGTATGCTCCAAAAGTTGCCGTGGCAATGGCCTGCATGAGCTCAATGTGAGGCACGTGGGCCAGTTTGCGGTAGAGGCCTGAGGGGCTCCCCACTTTGATGAAGGAACACATGATGGTGTTTGTGCGGAGTTGGTTCAGCAGGAGTTCCATGTACGCAGACGTGGGAAGGCCAACATTGCCATCTGTGATTATCACAATTCCTGATAGGAAAAAATAAAATCATGAAAAGTGCTGTTTATCACAATTATTATAAGGATAAGTATTGCAGCATTTCAACAACTCAAACTCTTTGCAAGAAAACATATGAGCCTCACACTAGTGCTATTTTACATTACAATATACTTGTCATAACATATGTCTTATTCAAGCAAGTTCAAAAAAGGTTAAAAAGAGAACCCCCCCCCCCCCCCAACCCGAAACAAAAAAGTTTTGTGCAGTCTCGGAAAACTAGACCAACCTGAGGAAGAATTCTCTGGCAACAGTTGCAGTGAGAGAATGCCGTAACGGAGCATGTTTGTGAAGCCTGCCTCCGGACTGCCCAAGTGGTCTGCCAGGTTGAAGTGGTCTGAAGATTCTTCCTCATCATCCTGAGCGAGAGAAAAAGAAACAATGAAAATATATGACTGTTGCTTCTTTTAGTTGCTTCCTCATCGCAAAGGCCATATTATCCCCAATACTCTGGATCTAAACTTTTACAAGCAGTAACACAATAATCCCAAATCTCAACACTACACATACAGCTCTCATCTCCACCCCCCCCCCTCCCCCCCCATCCCCATCCCAAAAAAGGTACACCAACCTCCCTCGGGAAATAAAACTAAAAATACCATACTACAGACAGCTCCGTATAAGAATACCTTTGCTATAAAAGAACCTGTGCAAAAGGTGGCCTTTCCCTATTTTTCACACGTCAAAACTACACAGCAGCTGTATAGACTTGGACAGATATTAATTCAAGATCCCTCCCCCCTTCCCCCCCCTCCCAAGCCAGTCTCAACAAGCCCTCTAACTTCCCATGTTTCTTTGACATGCATAATCTGCACATCAAACCTCAGATGAACAATTCCATTTTAAAATATGACTATGAGAAAGGAAAACCGGAGGAAGAAAACCCAAAAGTTATCTAGTAGGTACCTTCATGAAACACAGATCAAACCACAACATACCTGGATTGAGATGAAAAAGAAACGTATTAATGCTGGTGCACATACCTTTCGTTTGTGCATTTTGAGTAGCGTGGTGAAACTGACAGAGAGGGCAGCTTCAAACTGTTTCAGCTCAAACTCGATGTGTCTCAGGTAGAAATCCAAGTTGTCTTGACTCAGCTTCACACCCTGAACCAGCACCTAGGTGGGAAATGAAAATGGTTGAGGCTTATGACTACAACCAATATATCTTCGGCCAGCTGTTTAGATGTAAGAAGCCAAAACTTTTATTAATTTCTTTTATTGCCATTTCTTCATCAGCGATATCAGTTGTACGTGCTCAAGAAATACTGTACCAAAATTCAAACTCTAAATGTTGAAAAGGGCAAGAAAAGATTCATAAAGTAGGTACAATTGTTAGGTACCATGCTGGCACTTTTTTAGGTAACTTAAAAATATCGGCACCAAAATCAGGACAAAGGGACAACAACAACAAAATGTACAATTGTTAAAAGAATGATACTGGGTTTTTTTCCTCTCCTGCAAAATGTTGCTTGCTTGGCTAAGAATATTTTAATAGTTTGTTGATGAAATATATATATAACTTTGAAGTGGAAGGGGAGAATGGATATGTCAGTGAGGTCTTTTGTACCTTTATCTTTTATCTTTGGGTAACAGGTTTGACTGCACTAGCCTTTCCCTTGAACCAGATCCGCTGTCTGAAATTACATATTTACTCCGCACCAACTGCTCATGAAAATAAAACCTTGCTGAAGAAAGTTATTGTTTAAAGTTCATTTCTACTAAATGTGAGGCAGTGTGGTGGAATCAGGCTCTCGTCAATTTTTGGGCATGAAGAGTTATTGATATCATCTTAAAGCTTGTTTACTTGTCTTTATATGGATGAAAAAATAACCATTTATCTTGAATACAAGTCGAGATATTTGCGGAAGAAGGAGGTGGGGTTCACCTATTTTCAGAGGTAAAATTAGTGAGAAAATGGCCGCCAAAGATTAGTTGTTTCCTTAGCTAAAGAGTCCGTGGTAATTAAAAAATTACATATTTTGTACCTTTAATCAACGTTTTTCATAAAAATCTCACATAAATGAGTTCTTTAATGGGTATGAAAGGTATTGAGCCAAAAAAAAAAATTGATAAAAATTCACAAACCTGCGAAAAAATGCATGTTTCTTCACTTTAATTATTTTGACGAGAGCCTGATTCCACCACGCTGCCTCACAAATATCATTTTTAAAAGCGTCTTGTCTGATTTCTGTCCCCATCTGATCATGCAGACTCCAGTAGCTAAAGTAAGTGGTTTGACATAGAATTGTAATAAAGAGGAGGGAGTTCTGATTCAACATCTATCTCCGATGTGACTGAACCAAGTGGGTGGACTATCAAGAAAATTTCATTAAAAAACTCAGGACCAAGGAAGCCCTACTTATGGTTCAAACCTCCGCACTCCAAGCTAGGCTATCTAAACTAAAGGCACCAAGATACTACCCCACAATCAAGCCATACCTGATTGGTCGATGAGCAGACAACGGGAGTCTGACATATCACAGAGATGTACAAGTCTGGAGAGAACCAAATATCACTGCCAGGAATCGGGAACTGAAACAAATAAGAAATCATTTGACACTAGTCACAAAAAGGACATTCAACCAAACACTAATGAAAATAATGTTCTTTTTTCTCCTCAGGAAACAACTGGTAACATCAATGACAAAACAATAATAAAATTGCATAAATTCACCTTCCCTGTGTTAAAGTGAAAAAAATTATTTCTTTTCTTCTCAACTCTCATTTTTTAAATGCTCTTTCCCTCAATTTAACATTACTGTAACCTACAGCTAACATTACACGTGTAATTGTAATCACAAATCAAAACCATTAACAAATAATATGCAGGCAAATTTGTCCAAGACTAACATTCTTTGTCAAGAGGAAAAGTAGTCATCTTAGGCAGGTGGTTCTCTTGGACAATGTCATGATATAGAAAAAAAAACGCAAGGGGGTGTGGGAAGTGGTCGTTTGAGCAGATGATTGTCTTGAGCAGGTGGTCGTTAAGGCAGGTTCAGCAGGCCGTATATATTCTCTTCCCTTTCTCTTATACAAACACAGATAAATCAATACAAAGTAAGTCTTACGAGCAATCTTACAATCCAGTCAACTTACCGGCATGACAAGGCCCTGCAAGCAGCGCCGTAAAGACTGGTACACACCATCGTACACAAACTGTCCATTTTGGATATCCTGTAACAAAAAGTTAGCCACTTAGTGTTTAACAGCCATTGACTGACCATGGGCATATCAGTGTCATACTGACAATTGTAAAAGAAGTTGTTTTTTTTAAAAAACAAAATGAGTATAACAACCTACTAGACAGTAAAAGAACAGTTCAAAGGCAATCTTCACCAACAAGACAAAAACATTAATTATATCACTCCAATCCCTGCCAAATGAATAGAACACAAAGACTACAAAAGTTGAAGGAAAAAAGTTACCCCCACCGCGCCTTTATTCTTTAGAATATTCCAGATGGAAAAACTCTTTCATCTTCATTAAAATTCCTCCAGCAGGGTAATCACAAATTTCGCAAAAATGTTAACAGACGTTATAAATTACTCTAGGAAGAAACTGTTCAAGCAAAAATGCTCTTAAGCTACAAATTCAGTTTCTTTCATTTAAGTCAAGTAATCTAAAAAGAATCATCTTGAAGAGTGCCACGGGTAAGACTCACCACTGACATTAAAGATGGGCTGAGGTCCAAGGTAAAGGAAAGCCTGTACCTCCAGGAGAGGAACGTGATAATCGTATCCGGCCCAATATGCACCAGATACCGGCATCCATGCTCTAATTTTACCTCCGGGTCGTCGGGTATAACAGACACAAGGGTTAACTCTTCTGTCAGGCCCTACATGGAAGACAAAGAAAAAAATGCATAAAAAGAGAGAGAGAATCAACAAAGAAAAACGAAAACCTTCTTATGTCTCATGTCATGAGTCACATTTGACATGGTGTACTCAAATGAAAACTTTAAAACCACGAAATTACAAGAAATATAGAGATAATTAGAAGACGCTTTCTACCTTTCTAAAAGAAATAAAAGTGTTTAAAACATGCTTTATTTTTCTTTCAAATAAAATTAAGCAACACGATCAATGAACCCAAATATAAGGCAACCCAACTTCAATGACAGGCAGAATGACAACATGCACACATATATATATTTTTTTAAGTTTCAAAGGTTTTGTCTCCCCTCCCATTGCTGCCTCAAAAAGAGGAGAAAAAACAAAACAAAGTACACAATAACAAAATAGACATATATCGGATTCATAACAGAGTTAAAGAAATGTTTACAACATTTAGAAAGAAAGCTTTGTTGACATTCTCAGAAAATGCATTTATTTTTATTTTGCAGCAAACAGCTTTACATGCAGTACAGACACACAAAAATAGAACTGCAGCATGGCATCCTGTTTTGAATGAGAACAAAGCATCCTTCTCACTTAAAACATTTCAGTCACCATCGACAGGAAAGCTAAAGAAACTATATATATATAAATGCCTCTTGATGACTCTCATGACATGAACAGTACACGCTGATTTCTTCCCAATTTGTGTCACTTTACTCATGATGGTAATAATCTAAATTTAACCCCATCTCTATCACTTGCTCTCAAGGCAAACATAAAACAAAGCTCTAACACTCACAAACATGATCACACACCCTCAAAATACAAACCTCAACATTCTGTAAGGGAGAAAACTCAACACTTTTCTTCAGGTGTCGAAAGAACCAGCAAGCCCTAATGTTTCTGGAAACTCGAGTATGCTTTTTCATCAAAACATACGCATGAGCTGCATGAACATTGGGCTGGAACAGAAAATGTAGAAACACAATCAATACAAAATTGAACAAAATTCCTTAGACGTGTGTTTATGCATTATAACATGTGTAGGCCCTACTGTCAACAATTTAACACTGGAGAAATCAGGGTATATATAATATATATGTATCATCCTCCATCATTTCTCTTTCCTTTTTAGAGACACACTTGGGCAGCATATAAATTAAGAATTTCATAGGTCCACTAAAAAAGCTTCAGTAGTAAATCTAGCGGCTGTTCCTCCACTGGAAAAATTCCAGTCCTACTATTCATACAAGACTTGAAATTTAGTCAGTCTTCCACAACTTCTATTCTTTTCCATTTTCTAAACACCTCTAGTACCAAGTCAGCACTTTATGAACCAGGACCTGATTTCTGTACTCCTCAAGACAAAAGTGTAGAATAAAAAAAACAACAACCTTCAGGCCCTTCTACTCTCATTAAAAAATAATGCAAAAAAATTCACTGACGCAAAGAAACCGGAGAGAACAGAGACCAGCTAGTCATCATCTGTGAGATCCGGGAGCGTCTATACATGTAATTCTATACGCACGCATTGCGTGCACCAACACATTTTTTTGCTATACGCACGCAATCGCCTGCAAGGTATCATACACTTAGCTATGCACGCAATTTCGTGCCGTAATGCTGTGGCGTGTCAGCTTCCGCTTCTTTGAGGCTTGGCGCAAGAATGGTCTTCATGCAAGAGGAGATGGCGCTCTTCAAAGTTCGTGATTTTTTGCCAACTTTTGTATAAAGAGGCACAGTCACAATACTAAAAGGAAACATATACAACACGGGTGGTTCACCGATCAAAGACAAGCGCATCAATAAGTTTCATACAAACTTTGTCTTGGCCAAATGATTTTCCTTTTTTCATTTTTCTACAAGCTGCTGAGACTTCATCTTTTTGTATTTTTTGTCCACAATAAATGTCTCCTCCTGTCTTTGAATTCTCTAGAACCTTGACTCTCATCATCAGAATACAGATTCTCTATCTATATTCAACCCACTAGACAGCAATATTATATGCCTTCATTTTTCAGATGTTTTCCTTCGAATCTTTTAACATTCCCTTGCACCGAGTTCATTTTTCCAGTTAAATTTTTCATAGATTCATGGAATACCGGTACTTTGGCATTTTTATACTTCACCTTTTCTAGATATTCACATTCCAATTTAAAAATCGTTCTTTGCCGTTGATGCATTCTTTCCTTTTACTCTCACGCTGTGCCCTGAACACATTTCGTGAGAGTGATATTCAGTTGACTACAAAATGCAGGTTTCAGTGCTTGAGAGAAAGAACAACGACTATAGCTTTGTGGCATAGTAGAACGCCACTTCGCCATCATCTCATTTCGCTCTCCCGAAAAAAAATTCGTCCACAAGCCCAGAATAATATAGCGAATGAGTTAAGTTTGCTTCTCAGAATTATGTTTCCCCTTTTCTGTCGCACATCTAAATGGGCTTCTAGGTGAGAGGAAAGAATTGATAAATCACCCGAGTCTTCTCTGTTGTACCTTATTCTTGAGATCACAAGAAATTCAGAAACCCCCATAGAGCCTTACAACTGTTCTTTTAATTTTCAGACTTTATGGATTTCTCAGGTTTTCATCACAGAAAACTGCCTCAGAAAAATAGAAAATGTGAGGTCGCATAGCAACATAATGGAATGTAACTCTGGGTGGCTTGCCTTCAAATCCCTCATCATAGCAGTAGCCTTTCCAGTAGATTCAAAGTCCCTTCTTCCTGTTCGGTAAGACAGTCCAAACCTGACACTATCGTAAAAACTCGACTTGTCTAAAAATATATAATACATATACACACAATTGTGTGCACAGCCAACTATGATATCTCGTACGCAACTGCCTGATTACAGCAAAATTTGAATTTCTGAGCATGCATTGCATGTGCATTCAGCAGTGAGATCAAGTGTCCTAGACATGATGACCAAACTGACAAGAATGTTATTTTAATTTTTCTCAGTTACAGTAATAGAAAATTTCCAGTAGAGTCTAGAATCTATTATTATAATCTATAGATCTATATATATATTCTTACATCTTTATCTAACAGTATTTTTTAACTTTCCCTCCCATCTCACACTTAGCTACCAGTTGTACTTTTTCTACTAGGTTCTAAATATTGATGCGTTGAACACGAATATCAACTTCATTTTCGTAGCAAATTACTAGATCTAGTTTTTGAAATATTTGATTTTTCTTAATCGAGATATAGATCTAGAGTCTAGAAGTGCTTTGGACCCATCGGGGGGTTCCAGG